CCGTCCTGACTGGGTGCAGGTCCTGCCCCGGGGTCGCAGAGGCTGCCACTCGCTGTCGGTGTCTGGGGAGCCAGACCCAGGGCCTGGGCCTAGGGACTCGAGGGGAGGGGCCGTGATGCGCGAGCCTCTGGATCCCTTCTTCCAGCAAATCGCCTTCAAGAACCTGGTGCAGAGAAACCGCCAGGCGGAGCAGCAGGCCAGCCGGCCACCCCCGCCCAACTCTGTCATCCACCTGCCTTTCATCATCGTCAACACCAGCAAGCATACCGTCATCGACTGCAGCATCTCCAACGACAAGTAGGTGGGCCGCACACCCGTCAGGGCGGCCGGGGGCTCACACGTGGTCGTGGGGCCCCGAGCACCCGTCAGGGCGGCCGGGGCTCACATTTGTGGTCGTGGGGCCCTGAGCACATACCGTCAGGGCGGCCAGGAGGGCTTCACATGTGTTTCTGGGGTCCCTGAGCACACACTCCTGTTAGGGCGGCCAGAGGGGCCTCACACACATGGTTGTGGGTCCTCAAGCACACCACCATTAGGGTGGCCAGGAGGGCGGGCCCGGGCAGCATGCCTAAGTGCTGGCTGCTCTCCTGGGGGTGCCGGCCCGGCTGGGGGCTTCGCTGAGCTGCGTACCATGTGGTCTGGGCAGAGGTCGGCGGCGCTGTCCGAACCCCGTCGTCTTATTTGTGAGTGCACACGTTCTCAGAGACTGGGGCAGGGTGCGGTCGGGGGCAGCGTGCCCGCCGGCCTGAGCCAACACCGTGCCCCAGATTCGAGTACCTGTTCAACTTCGACAACACGTTTGAGATCCATGACGACATCGAGGTGCTGAAGCGCATGGGCCTGGCGTGTGGCCTGGAGTCCGGCCGCTGCTCCGCCGAGGACCTGGAGACAGCTCGCAGTCTGGTGCCGAAAGCTCTGGAGCCGTATGTGACAGGTCGGTGCAGCCACGGAGCCCCGAGTGAGCCTGGCTCCTGGGCGTGTGCTCTGAGCTGGTCCTTGGGCAGGACTAGGGCTCGGGGCGGGGGCGGCAGAGGCCCAAGTCTCGCGGTCCTGGCGGGTCGACCTGGTGCAGCAGTGGGCCCACCAGCTGGTGCACATGGGGAAGGAGGGCACTGAGCCCCCCAGGCCCACCCAGGAGGAGCTGCCACTCCGAGGACCACAGTCAACCCGCTGGCCCACCTAGGTCCACAGTCTCTGATGAAGCCTCCAAAAACACATTCTGGCCTTGTCGCAGTGGTGACTGCCATGGGCGCCTCTCCGTCCTGGTGCCTGCTGTGGCAAGGGCTGAGCCGGCCATCCCTGCTGAGAGCTCTCAGCCCAGTCGGTCTGCGGGTCGCCGTCCTGTGGGCCCAAGGCTCCTCTCCTGCCTGCACGGCTGCAACAAGCGAGTGGCCTGGCCACGTGCAGGGAAGCCGAGCCTGCCCCGCTGCTCGGTCCTGGGCAGCCAGGAACCGACCCGAGCTGGTGTCCTGCGGTGCGCAGGCATCGGTATCCAGGCAGCCTCGAGTGCCATGAGCTGCAGACACCCCCGCGTGTGTGCAGGGCTCAGCCTCCTCGGGGGGGCAGCCTGATGGTGCAGCGAGGCCCTGTTCTGGGCATGGCACGGGGTCCCGAGTGCCAGAGCCTGGAGCGTTGGAATCAGCACCTCTTCGTCCATGCCTGTGTTTCCTAACCCCCTGTCGCCTTCTCTCCTCAGAAATGGCTCAGGGACCTATCGGCGGCGTGTTTGTCTCCACAGCAGGCCCCACGTCCAACGGCACCAGGCTTTCTGCCAGGTACGGTCAGGAAGGCGGGTGACGCGGGCCCCTGGAGCCGTGGCTGGCAGGCCCCCGAGCATGTGAACCTGCCCTCTGTGGGGCGCAGGGCATCTGAGTGCCACCAGTCGGGCACCTAAGGTGCAGCGAGGTACCCCATGGTCAGAGCTCATGTAAGAGAGGAGCACCACCAGGGTCCAGGTAACCCTGCTGGCCCCATACGCCCGGACCCCCACAGTGAGCGCTGTGAGTGCCTGCACCTCCCCCAGGTCAGAGTACATGGGGTCTCGTTCCTGCGTTTCCCACTTCGCATGGCGTCAGCTGTGCTTGTCCGTTTCCAGAAGGAACACCGCTGTAGCTCGGGGACGCCAGGAGGGGGCGCGGCCCTCCAGGAGTTCTCTCAGCCTCACTGAGACCGCGCTGGCTGTTGCTGACCGCACTGAGGTTGGGCAGTAACGTCTCTGCTAACCTCAGTGCTGCAGACGGCACAGTAAAGTCCTCCAGATCGAAGACAAACTAGGGACCCTGGCCAGCAGAGGGACTGAGCTGATCCGTCTCAGCGCTCCCACCCCTTCTGCGACGTGCTCTGGGGCCAGGCCACCCCAGGGCCCTTAGGGGCCCCTAGACGTCTGTGGGGTGGATATCGGCCTGTGTGGGGATGGAGAGGTGGGACAGAGGGCCATGCAGGCCGGACGTATGGACGGGGGCTGGGACAGGAGGGCTGCACTGCCGCGAACTGGAGGCCAGAGCGAGGCTGTGTGGAAAGGCTGGTGGTCTACATGAACCTAGCAGAGGGGAGGCTGGGGATCCAGAGGCCGCGAAGGCAGCGGTCCCCGGCGCTCTGTATTTATCAAGCGGAAGATCAGAGTACAAACGATGTATTTTAAAGTAAATGGACCTCAGCAAGTTTACCTCGGAGGGAAAACCCTGTATGTGTACAGAGGGCGGCAGAGGGTGGACATACAAACGGCAGGATTTCCCCAAAGCAAGAGCATCTCCAAGACCCCGGCTTCTAGGAAACACAGAGCTGGGGTGCACGCGGTCGGTAGGACGGGGCACGTGGACCCCTGGGACCTGGCTGGCTTCTCTGGGATCCGGGTTACAGGAGACTGCGGCCTCCTATGCCGAGGACCTGTGTGCCGGTCACTGGAGGTGCCAGCAGACCTGGCCACGGTCACACAGGGTGGTGTGTGGGGACAGAGAGGTGAGGAGGTCCGCGTGTGGACGTGCAGCCTGCCAGCAGGGCCGGCTCCACCTGGTGTGGTTCTGCTCAGACGTGGCCTGCTTTGTCACCGGGGTGGGCTGTGGTGTGTTCGCTGCGGCACGTGTGCTGACCAGAGTGAGTGCGTGCACAGTTGGCCCCAGGGAGGCCATGCCACTGTCCCTGCTCCGTTCTCTTGGGAGTTGGGGCACACGTGTGCCCAGTGTGATATTCAAGCTTCTGGTCCAGGGACTCAAACCGTGTAGTTAGCCGTGTAGGACCCGGCCACCTTAACCTCCATGCCACCTGCTGGCCCCAGGTTTGGTGTTTTTGTTTTCTTTTTCTTTTTTGGAGAAATTGTTGTTAAAGGGCAAGTGTACGAGACAGAGACAGACCGAAAGCGAGAAGTCACCCCCCCTCCCCCAGGTGGATGGCTACGTTACAGTCCCTTCTCTGTTCTCCTCTTGGAATCTTGGGCACGCACACACATGCCTGGCGTGAGTTTTAAGCCTAAGCCAGGTTTGGGATTTGAACTGCAGTTGACTAGGTGGGAGCCTAGCAACATAACCATTATACCATCTGCCAGTCCCCAGTTTTGGTGCTTTTAAAAAATCTTTCATCTCACTTGTTTGTTCTGTGATGGGACTTCTGGGCTTCGTAACAAGGAACACTGAGCATTGCCAGCCCTGTAGGAGACCCAGGGCCTGGTGGCCTGGTGGGACCGCCTATCAGCGGCAGTGAGCGACCCACCTGACTCCCCGTCCTGACAGGCTTTGCTAGGCCGTCCCCCCAGGTGTGAACTGCTCTGTCCAGTGCACATTTAGAAGGTTTGTGGGGCTGCATGCACTTGCCGAGGTGGGGTCGCTCTGCAGGCCCTTTTCATTGATCCTTGCTGGATTTGGGGTGCACGTGCCCCGGGGTGTTTCCAAGCCGTGGTTCTCCAGCGCTTAGCTGGCCACGTGAGGCCTGTGGGTTTATGGCCTGTGGGCCGCCGTGACATGCACGTAGCGCTTGGGCCAGGCGGGCTCTGGCGTGTCACAGGCTCCGGCCGCACCCTCACCCTTTCCTAAGCTGCAGGCCCTGAGCAGAGCCCTGGTTTCCCCGCGGAGAATGTGGGGACTTGCTCCTGGTGTCTTAGGCGGAGGGGCGGGCCCTGCTGTGCTCTCAGCACCCTGTCCTTACACAGCGAGGAGAACAGGACGTCACAGAAGGCTTGCTGGTGGTGGCCTTCCCCGC